AGAGAGAGAGAGAGAGAGAGAGAGAGAGAGAGAGAGAGAGAGAGAGAGAGAGAGAGAGAGAGAGGCATGATGTGCTAGAATTCAGTTCATGTCAACACGTTTTATAGGCAGCCCATCCCTTGTTATTAGAAGACGGCGTAAACAAAGGAAATCGCAATCGAAGTTATCGGACGGCGGTTACCTTCCAAGCTGATGGCATGAACTCGCGCACACAGTACGAGCTGCTCAACCTCTGGTTCTGGTCAATCTGGCCAGCAGCACTTCCAGAACCTCCTCCTCCTCTTCCTCTTCCTCCTCCTCCTCCTCCTCCTCCTTCAGAGATCCAAAGTTGTTCCTTTGAGAAACTGGCAGCAGCTGCGGGATCATTGACTGTCATTCTCCGTTTCCCTCCTCCACCTTCTTCAGCCTGGAATCCACCACGTGGCGGATTCGCTGGCGGATTCGCAGGCGGATTTGCAGCCGTACCGTAGATCGCACTCTTTGTTGCAAATACAATCAGTCGATGATCATCGATGAGCTTTTGCATCTGCCGGACGGCTGCCTGATGAACTAATGTCAAGGCGGTCGGGTGAGACGCTGACATTGCAGGCATCCTGCACATATTGGAGCAAGCCAAAATGAATAGATCATTGAATTAATGCAACAGTTGCAACTAATAGAATGATTACAATGCAAATTCCACAAAATGCAATCAAAACCATGTGTGATAAAAATGGAATGAAATAATGGATGAGAAGATCATCATTATCAATATCATGGATATTATGATATTATTATTTGAATATATATCGTCATTGATACATCATCACAGATACAGCAATATATAACTCCAGGCTACCAAAGTGGCCCGGGAGCGCTTGCCTGGCCGGGCAAAACAAAACAAAATAAAAAAGGTAAGGGATTTTATTTTTTTTTTTTATTTTTTTTTTTTTGCAGGAATCTTCCCTGGCCCTGCCCTGCCTGGCCGGTCGGGTAATGCCTTAGGATCAAGACAAGACTGCATTTCAGACCTGGTATGGACTGTATGGTAGGAGTTTGTGGTGATGCCTTATGGGCTCTGCAATGCACCCAAAAAAAACATTTCAACATGGATGGTGTACAGTGCTTCATGACCAGTTGGACAAGTCTTGTGTTGTAGGGGTTTTTTTTTTTTTTTTTTTTTTTTTTTTTTCCCGATGGACCACAGATCAGATATTAAACTGATCAGAACAGATACAGTGCACTTGATCTTAGTCGAAACGCCGAGAAAGGTATTCTCTATTTAGGAGACATATTCATCTTCAGTAGGATTCTGAAAGAGCACGCCAAGCACTATAAGGTCTTGTACTTGAGTCACAAAATCTGAAAATATGAACTGAGGCTAGGGGACGTGAAAGTTGCGCCTATAAGGTATGGGTGTTGAGTCTGTAGACGTTGAAATGTTTCTGAGGTAAGGTGACTGGCAGGCAACATACTGCCCCTTGAATAATGTTTCGTTACTTTCGTATCCGGTCCAAATATGGTCATGATGCTGGCACATGATCTTCAGGGAAAGAAGGAAGTGCAAATTGCATTCTAGTGGTTCCCTTTCTCAGTGCCATAATTTGTTCTCCTGACGCTGAGTATAGATTGGTATACTAAGAGTCTAAGACTATACTTGTATTTTTTTTTCTTTTTCTTTTAATTTAAGCTGTCTTCTCCTCATCGGGGGACAGCTATATAGTATATATAGCTGGGGCCGGTCAGCATGAGCCTAGCTCAGTGGGTACACCCATGAACTGTTGAAATACAGACCTGTGTTCGAATTCAGATGATGGAACTTGTGAGAAAAACCAACTACTAATGAATTGCGTGGGGCCGGTCAGCTCAATGATAATATCTCAAGGCCGTCGCCGTTTTTTTTTTTAATATATATTATATATATATAATATTATATATATAGTATTATAATATTATAATAATTATATATATATAATATATATATATTCTCTCACCTCACATATTTGAACTGGCTTTCTGCCATGTCATGGAACCTATCTTTTTCCTCTCACTACCTACCACTACTCCTAAGGCTATATACATATGCTTGTTTTTGAAAGAAGACTATGAGGAACAGCTGTTAGCGTAGTGCCTCTTTTTTTTTTTTTTTTTTTTTTTCCAAGTGAATGATTAGTCCGTTTTTGCTTGTTTTGCTTAGGATATTAAATTTCTTAGTTTCTTCAACTTTCTTGTTCTATTTTCTACAGGGGAGGGGCTCCACCTCCGATGTGCGGATGGAGACCTTGCGACCCCTGAATCTTCGACTTGCTTCTCATTCTGTATTTTGGCCTTGGGCACTGGGCCCGTTTTATTAAAAAAAAAAAAAAAAAAAGTTCGTTTTGAAATGCATGGCCCTGTTTGTCCAAGTTCTTCTGTTGCATTTCGTGGTTCCAATCAGTGTGAAAGCACCTTTGTGGGGATTTTTTTTTTTCTTTCTTTCTTTCTTGATTTAGGGTGCTGGAACACACCAAGTTCTATAATTCTTACTCCTTCCTTAAGAAAAAAAAATAAAAAATCTTACTTCTTCCTATTTTCATTCCATAATGTGATAAATTGATAATACTATTTTATTATAATATATAAATTTATAATATGATTATTATATGTAATGCATGCTTCTGATAGAGGCATTCCCTTTGCACTTGAAGGAACTTGATCAAGAAATATTAATAATTAAAAAAAAATCCTATAAAGTGATATATATATGGGCTACCAACCGCGCGGCCCGGGTCACAATGGTTGCCCGAGCGGCCAGGCAGGGCAGGGCCAGGGAAGGTTCCTGCAAAAAAATAAATAAAAGAAAAAGAAATTGCCGAGTTGGAAAACCACCGACAGGCAGTGAAGAAACAGCAGGCCTTACAAGAGGATGCAGCATGGGCACTTCATGCCCGCGTCCACGACTTGGAGCACTCAGCACCAAGCCGAGACGCTGGCGAGTCAAGTACCAGCCAGACTGCAGCCTCGGCCCGCAAATTGGAAGAACGACTCGACCATGTGGTAGCAATGCTCGGTGAACTCTCTGCGTTCACAGCACCAGCCTCCATCAGCAAGCAGCTCGGCTCATTGAAGAACGAGATCCGGAAGTTGCAGCAGCCACCTACAGGCGATGGCAGCTCGGGTGAACCAAAGCAAGATGCCGATTTTCAGGCTTGAGAAGTTCGATCATTACACACATCAAGACCCCATCGTCTGGTGGCAGTCCTTCATAATGGAACTCCGGATCCATCGGGCCCCCGAGTACCTCTACGTCTCGGCACTCTACCTACTTGCAACGGGCGGATACCAGATCTGGTTAAACCACCTGGCAACCATCCACGCAGTGCAGGTTGCAGATCTGCACACCAAGATGACGTGGGAGGAAATCACAGACGTGTGGAAGAGCCGGTTCATAGTCGACGATGCTCCGGCACTCGCTGTCAACCACATTTTCAGCATGTCCCAAGGCAGCACACCTACGAGAGATTGGCTCACCGAATGGCAGAAGGTCGTGGCAAGGCCTGACCTGGACTTTTCGTTCAACCACCTGCAACTGCCATTTCGTCAAAATGGACATTTTTTATTTTTTTGACCGAAATTGAAACTGAGTTTTTTTGGCCAAAAACTCGTCCAAATTTGCTGCTCCGGAGGGTCCGGCGTTCTCAAAATGCTGGACCCCCTGGATGCATACGGACTTATCTTGAGACCAGATACATCGAGGCGGGACCGCCTGGATGTATCTGGTCTCAAGATAAGTCCGTATACATCCAGGGGGTCCAGCATTTTAAGAACACCGGACGCTCAGACTGCCTGGATGCATCTGGTCTCAAGATAAGTCCGTATACATCCAGGGGGTCCAGCATTTTAAGAACGCCGGACCCTCCGGAGCAGCAAATTTGGACGGGTTTTCGGCCAAAAAACTCGGTTTCAATTTCGTTCAAAAAATGAAAAATGTCCATTTTGACGAAATGGCAGTAGTGCAACGGGAGTTCTACAACCGCTCGTGCGCTACCCGGGCTCAAGCACTTGGTGACCGATTCCAATACACGGCCTTTGCCGAAATCATTGACAAGGCCCATGACATCATCAAGACTAATCGGGCGGCCGCTCACGACAAATCATCAGCGCAGCCCACCTATGTGGAGAAAGGACGACCTGGTTAACGACCACAACCAGTCGCTGTAGTCCAACCAGTTGGACAAGTGGAAGACCCGGCAGCCACCCCAGCATCAAGTGCAGGAGATCAGGTGGCCGCCGTCCAACCACGAAGCAACAACAAGAACCGTAATCACGGGAAGGCAAAATCCGCATCAGCTGCCGGAACTGGACAGCCAGCACCATGGGTCGAGTTCAACTTGACCGAGAACGAATACAAGTGGCGCAGCTGCTACTATTGTTGCTATTGGTGCAACAGCACCAAGCACAAGACCTTGAAATGCCAAGATCAAGGCAAGGTCGTCCTCGCAACGGCTCGCGAAACTGAGCACCACGGGAGGTGAGGCGACTCCACCTCCCACGTCGCCAGATACGGCCACCTTGCTAGCAGCCTCCTACACATCCGGGGAGAACGCGGATGTCGCAAGTCCTCAGTTTACTTATGAGGACTATGCTGTTCACTTGGTCCCACTGTTGGACCACCCACTCCACGTGCTAGACTCTTATGAGGACTATGCTGTTCACTTGGCCCCACTGTTGGACCACCCACTCCACGTGCTAGACTCCACCGCATGCACGGTTTCATCACCATCAGCAAATGATTCATCACCTTCATCATTGATGTCAGTCGAGGATTCGACGTCATGGTCAAGACTCCAGGAGCTCGACCCATAGACGATCGTGGGCTTCCACTGGATGCCCCTTCCCTCGACCGGACGCTTGCTGAAACCGCATTGCAATGCCTTGATGGCACACTTGCGGGAGTACTTGCACACTGCTCCGTTGATGGGCGTCAGAGCAGAGGTTGTTGACCTTCGCGACTATCTTGCAAAGATTGACCGCGAGTTCGAGACACAACGGTACGTCGACAACGATCCGTCATTGCTGTGCATTCGCATTCAAATCGGGGAAGCGACCTGCAGCGCTTTGATCGATTGTGGAGCTACTCGCAACTACGTATAAGCCAAGACTTCATGGTACGCGCTGGTCTTGGGCCACGCGTTCGGAGGAAGTTGCAGCCAACGGAAGTCACCTTGGCCGATGGTCGTATGCGCAGGTCAATTGACCGGTGCATCGACTCAGTCCTAGTGTACTTCGGCCAGCACGCATGCGAAGCGGTGTCCTTTGACATTTTGGACACCAAATTCAACATGATTTTGGGCATGTTGTGGCTGTGAAGTGAGAACCATCCGGTGAACTTCTATCGTCGCATGGTTCACGTCCATGACCGATCCGGCAAATTGATTTCATGCAAAGGTACCTCCACCTCACCCTTCGATTGGCTGCCACATTGTGCCTGCCGCAAACATTCAAGCATCCATCTCATGGAATGACATTGAGGAGATGGGTATGTGTTTCTCCACGCCCTCCCTCCACAAGACTCTTTATTGACGGACGCATTGACGGATCCACGCATTATAGAGCTTCTCGACAACTACGGCGA